AATCTGCATCCAATGGTCTTTTTTTAAAATATAATTGATAATCATAGCATGGTCCTTGAGAATTAAATGAATCAGCTGAAATTGGAATCTTTTGTGCTATGCCTCCTGTTATTCCTCTTTGATTATTTTTTGCACAAAATCTTTAAAAATCAATTCCACCATCATCTCGAAAATAAAATTGATCAACTGTTAACTGATAATGCTTACCACCTCAACAAGCTAAAAGAAGGGCATTATGAAAAAATATTCTTTTAATAAGTGTATCAGGAGTTAATATTAATGTTGCTGGATTTGATAAAATATTTGCAATGGTTTGTTGAGTTAAAGCAGCAGATCCTTTTATTTCTCCAAGTCCTTTATCTTGTAATTTTTTCATTTTACCATCAAGAACTTTTGTTAATATAGGAAATTGATGATGATCATGTAAATTGATTCCATAAATAGTTGAAAATTCTATTAAATATCGATTAATCCTATCAACAGCTTGTCTTATTGATAATGCTTTATATTCACTTCTATCTTTTTTTTTCATAGTAGCAATAAAACCTGCCACCTGATTTTTTAATATAGATATATTTGAAATAAGATTCAATAGATCTTGTATTGATCATCTTATAGATAAGATTCTATCATATTTTTTCAAAATTTTTCAAAGAATTCAAGCCAGTTTTTGTTGCCCTTTCTGTATTTTGAACTCTTGACTTGTTTTAATAAAATAAAATTGCCTTTTCAATATCAGTATTTTTGTATGTTTTAGATTGTAAACTTGGATTGTTTAAACTTTCACAAGCAGTATTAAATTTTACGATCTTCTTTAATTTTATTTTTGAGAAATAAAATTAAAAAAAATTTAAAAAAAAAATTTGTAAAAAATAATTATTTATGATGTAATAAACACTATTTTTACATTATAATAACATGTGAATCACATAATTCATGTGATTTTTCTTATTATAGGCATTAGTAATTAGGAAATATAATAGTTATTTACTGCTCAATTACTGACATTATTAGGGTTATAGCTGCATAGTAATACCTGATGATATTTCTGATTTTACGATTAATAACTAATACATATTTTATATCTTGAAAAAAAGTCTCTAAATGCAGATCTTATATTCACGAAAATGATTTTATTCATAAATAAATTAACTTTAAAATTATAAAATCATTATATCGATATTTACTTCTTCAATGTTATACCAAGATGAATTTTATTAAAAATCATCTTAGTTTTTAAGATATTGATTGATTTAAGCAAATGTCTTCATGTTTTTAATTATATATTTCAATATGAATCTCTTATAATGTATTTTTATTATAAAAATTTGAGTTTATATATTATGTTAATTAATAAATTATATTATCTTTAAGCAACTTTATTAATATATAAAAATAACGTGATATGACATAATAACTTGAATTATTTTAAACTTTAGTTTTTTAATTATGACTTCATAAATAGATAAACAATACAAATAAATGAAAACTTTAGATATCATTACAAAGTACTGTATAAGAATGATTTTTATATAGAAGATTAAGGCTAAGCAAGCAACATTATTTAAAATAACAATTATTCTAAATTACCCCTCTTTTCATAATTTATTTATAAAGAATTTAGTTTAAGAATGTAAACAAAAATAATAGTAACAAAAAAAATAAATATTGCATAGATATCAAGAGAAGGGAGGAAGAGAAGGATGACAAAAGTATTGTACAATAATTTTAAAAATTTTTAAGTAACTGAGCTATATTTTTTTTAATCACATATTAGCTAACTATTATATAATGAAACATTTTGTTCATTATTTAGTTTAGAGTAATATATAGTGTAAAATCTAATTTTGAAAAAATTTTTACTTTTTAATTCTTCGCACTTTATATATTTTTGCTAAAGAATCAGCTTTTAACCTTTTATATATTTTTGCTAATTAAAAAGCTGCAAGTACTAATAGTATTTAAGCCTTTTAATGAAAATATAATACACAATTATAAAAAATAGAGATTTTTTAAAATTCGATTTTAAGAATTGCAATATAATAAATTAAACTATTAATAAAAATATTTCATTAATACAATAGATGTCCAAAATGTTTCTAATAAAATATGACTCAGTTATTAATGAAAAATTTACTCAATTATCTCATTTTGATCGTATAATATTTTTATCACCCCTGGTATATATAGAATTATATAATTAAAAATTAATATTTTATGCTATAAAATAGGATGATATTTCTAGTTAAAGAATTACTTTAGCTAATAAAGTGATCCTAATATTAATACAAAAAAGAATGTAAATCACATAAGTTTTATCAGTCCATCTACTTTCTACTTTTGTTAAAATAAGAGTAATTTGTATAATAAAATAAGTAATATTAGAATGATTATAGAAGTTTGAAATTTCTTCATTAATAAAGTAATTTGCAAATTAGTAATAACTAATGCAATGAAAATTGAATTAGATTTTATTTACACTTTAGTAAGTAGTCTTATTTTGAATCAGATTGTAAAAAGATAATTTTGTTAAAAAAAGGATTTTTGTTTAAAAATATAAGCTACTGATAGAGCTGTTTTATTTAAAATTACTTTTTCTTATTCTTAATATAAAATGTGAGAATCTACATAAAGCTGTATTAACCATCAAGTAGATTTGTAATACAAAAAGTGTGATTTATTTATTTAGAAATGTTTTAAATTATTATACAATTCATTCATTCTTTCTGTATAAAGATTTGTTAGCCAACTGATATTAATGCTATTTCTTTTTATAGAATATGCTAGTATAATTTGACTTCATAATGAGATTGGAATATTTAATATTGAATTTAAGATAAAATTTGAATTTCAAATACAAGATCATCTTAAATGAGATATTCGAAATACAATTTAAAATACAAATCTTAGTTTTAGACAAATTATGCAATTATAAATTAAAATAAAGGAATATTAAGAACTTATTATCTACATGCAATTTATTTAACAGATCTTTATTTTTCTTAGTTACTTTGAATAAAATAAAATAACTAATGATCATTTCTCTATAAAAAGTTAAATAATTATAAAAAAGATTTACAATTTCTTCACTTATAACCTTATCTTTGGTTAAACTAAGGAATGAAATAATAAGAATGATTAAGTACAAATAGATAAAAACCCAGCCAATCAAATTAAATTTTAAACATTTCTATACTTATTTTTATTTTTATTTCTTTATTCTAAAGTTCGTCATTTGGTTTATAATGATAATTATAAAATTAAATTGTAAAAGTAGTTTTCCTTTCCTGCTGTAATGAAAGAATTAAAAAGAAAAAATAATCTATATGTTTTAACATGTGAATGATTATTTTTTCCTTTTTCAGGTTGGATCGCTTATTTAAAAAAAAACCTAAGAATAAAGATAAAAATAAAAAAAACACATTTATTAACTGACGTTGCACCCGATGCATTCAAACTCCTGGATGAAATCAAATTTAAAAAAATAAATGAAAATGAAAATTGAAAAAATAGAACTTACTTATTTAAATTACGCAGCATCCAATACGATCGAAACCTGTATGAAAATAAATAAAGAATAAAAATGATAAAAGAATAAAGAAAATAGAGAAAAAATTAAAACAAAATAAAATAAAAAAAGAAAACTTACATTCAACAATAAAAAATATATATATATAAAATAAAATCAACATAATACATGCATTATAATTTTAAAAATAAAAGCGAAAGACCTAAAAAAGATAAAATAAACCGTAAAATGAAAGAAAATTAACAAACCTACAACATTCTTAAAAAAAAATAAAATAAATATCCAAAATTTAAATGGTATTAACTTTAATAAATAAATGCCGTGAAATTAAATGCTATCTTCTTAATTAAAATATTATAATTCAACTAAAAAGACAATTTACATTAGTATGTAAAGATTTGAGTGTTTACGAAATTGTAAAAAAAAATTGGCATATTGTAGTTATGATTGGTTAAAAATAGTAGGAATTAATTCAACATTAGCCCTGTTCAATTCTAGATCGGACTGGATCGACCGAAAAAATAAATAGCTAATCAGATCATTGTTACAATTGAGCACAATTTGTACGACTCGATCGAATCATGTTGTAAAGTTACTGGAACGCGTCACATTAGTTTATCAGCGAACACCTATTTTTCGTGGATCGGTTTGACTGATCGCTGATCGATTTAATAACCAATCATTTAAGGGCACATTTTGCGGTCAATCCGATCCGATCCAGGGCTATTCATTCGGATGATCCAAATTTGAAATATCCGAAAATATATTGGAGGTTTTGCTATTAACGGATCATATGGAATTGAAAAGGGGGAAACGGCTCGAAAATTAAAAATTGAGTTGATACTAAATTTTGACTAAAAGTCATATTTGGCATATAAAAGTTAAATTGATTTTTTCCGGCCGTTTCCCCCATATGATTTAACAGCAAACTCCCATATAACGCCGATCTTAAACGAATAATCAATTTCGTAGGATAAATAAAACTCCAAGCACGAGGTTACATTATTTTCTTTCTTGAATGATCTTCTTAAATGTTGAATGAAATAAAAAGTAAATAAAAAAAGAATTAGGTTATCGAAATGGTTTATCTGCAATTTTTCGAGGGTAATTTACAGTATATAAGGTTTGTCTGATTTTTCGACAAGAGAAAGAAAAAATTATTTCACTCATGAAGAAAAGTTTATTATACATACTTATACATTTTTCATCGGCAGTTATTGCTAATTGGATCACCGTAGAACATGATTTTAAGATGTGCGACCAGGTCGTACCTTCTAGTCTTGCGGCTTTCCATATAAATGATGATGGCATCACTTATTCGACGTCTCTTTTGGTCAGGCAAGTTAAAACTATAAGGCATGAGCCACCATTAACAACTTTAAACATCACTATGTGGGGATGTACCTATGATTGTAGCTTCAGCTTTATGGTGAATCTAAATAGGGATGATCTTTCAGTTTCAACGTATACAGTAAATAACACGAATAACTACAAATGTAATTTTAATAATTATACGATAAAACTAATTCCGACCCCTAAAATTACATATTTGGGAGACAAACCTGACTCGAATTATGTATTTCCACCTCATCTTACTGCAAAGTATTGCAGTGAAGGTAAACACCCAGATCAACCCGATTTTGCAATTAATGCTACAGAACATATAGCCGAATGCATAGATTATTTGACTGGTAATGAAGTTGGAACGTACGCTGCATCTCTTCTGTTCGGTTCAGGCAGCTCGTTCAATCATGAAGATTATCCTGTTGCTACATATCACATGATTAATTCGGCAAACAATCTATTCAATTATTGGGAGAGACACCATCGAGGGTACCATGATGCCCTTACTGAACTAAGTGTTAAAATGACTCCCGATAATCTAAAACAATTGATCCCACCGCCGCCGCCACCGCCTAAAAAAAACTGGCTCGTAGAGATTTTAGTTCCTATAGCCGTCTTCATTGCTGTTATAGCTATTCCTATTGCTGCGGAACTTTTAATTCCCGAAGCAGTAGCTGTGGATGGGATCGCGACAACCATCGCCGAAACCTCCGAACTTGGTGCCGAAATGGGTGCTGCAGATGATGCTATAGAAGCAACAGCTGAAGGATCGGTAGCCAGAAATGCAGCGGTAGGTTGGAGAAGTGAAGCGGAATCATCTAATGCCGCTATAAAAGCTGAGAAAGCTGCTCGAGCTTACGATAGAATTAAGAAATTTGCAGGTGGGTGCTCAGAAGACGTATGCAGATATACCAATTCAATGGATAGAATAGCATCATACTATAGTGATGCGGAAAACCCGAATCTTGCACGAATGCTTGCAGCTTTGAATAGGGTTCATAGGGTACCACCACCACAAAAGAGGGATACGACGACGATGGATAATATAGGGGCTTTTACAGTTAGCTTGGTGAATATGTACTTTCTTCCAAGTTTAATGGACAATGTTCATCAATCATTTACCGGAAGTGGTCAAACCTATCCAGATATTTCATCATATCTATCAGCCGCCAGTGAAAATCTCCAATTTCATTTTGAAGAAACATTACACAATAATTTTTTTAATGCAAACAAGTCAATACTAGCAAGTTTTACTATTAGTCAAGGGATAAATTATGATCAATTACTTGCTAGTGATGATGACGTATATTATTCTATTAAAAATGGTACATATAACTTTTTGGCGGCATCGATAATAAGCACTACCTTACAACTTTTTAATGTTGATATATGTGATCCAAGACCTTCATTTTGCGGACAATCTTGTGATAATGGTCATATTTATTGTCCTACAATCGGAGATGATAACTGTACAATAGCTGCCTCAGATGGTCAAATAAATGAACTTAAGTTTCTTCGAGATACCTTTGATATATGTTCAACTAATACTACGCAGACTGGTTGGAATATAACCCATAATAAAAATTGTGATATTAAACAATTCCAATGTCAATAATATATCGAAAATTACCCAAACGTGAATGTAATTTAAAAGAGACTCATTTTAAAACATTTATAGTTATCCAATTAGTAATATATTTAAATATTATAATATAGAGATGTTTAAGTAGTTTTTTATTTTAATTATAATAACAATGATCATTGGGTCAAAGCATTATACCAAAAGTTTTTAGAGTAATATTGTTTTATGGAAAGGTTTTTTATTTTGCGCTTCAATATTTTAATGTTTTAAAAAAAGTTAAATAAAAAAAATTTATTTTATAAATCAAGAACATTTTAATGATGATTTCAATAATCTATGAGATATTTCAAGTTTCCACATGAGAAATAGGAATAATCACATATGTGCCAAGTATCTCAATCATTTTAACTCGATTCCATGGTCCAATTTTTTTTACTAGTTATAGAGACTCTATATCAATATTCCAGAGTCAAGTCTGCATTCTCCGAAATATGTCAAAAAAAAATGTATGACAAAATTAGGAAATTCTATATTGGACATCCAACCGATAAAATAAAGGGATCATATTATGTCATAGCGGATTGATTGAAAAAATTTCTAACAAACTCACAAAAATTTAATTTCATTTACGTACATCACAAAATGATGGATTAAACAAATTTAGTAGTACGTAAACGGAATTATTATATAATAAAAATCATGATACGTGAAAATACTAAAAATACTAAGTAAATTTTTAATCGAGCTATTATATCAACGAATTTCGTTAGCAAAGAGGTGGAAGGTTATTGGATGAAACTTGCTGGAGAGAATAGTATTGAATTAGCTTTGTAAAAATGATTTCTTAGATTTACTACTGATATCATTTCGCATTACGACTTTAATAGAATTTATGCATTAGTAAATAACTACAATAATAAATCTCCGAAAAAAAGATTCTACGTATTATAGGAGTCTGAAAGAATTTATTAACAGTGATAATGATTTTTTGTAACATGTAATATTCCTTGTTAACACCAAAATGGCTGTGACATTTTCCTAACACCGATAAAGGAATTACTGAGAAAATTGCAAATAAAATTAATACGTACAGATCTAATATCTGATGAAGCAACCATTGGTAACAGCTGCTTAAGGTATTGATATTACAGTAACGGCAATTTTTTATATCAGTACCTAAGCAAAGAAATAACTCTTTGAAGAAATCGATTCAAGAATTTCAGTCAATAAAAATTATTTTAATAAACTAATTTACTATGATGTAGTAATGAATGAAGTTTTCTAGTAGTTAATATTAATTTTCAGATGAATACTCAAAAAGAAATTTTAAATGAATACCTTTTATAAACCAAAGGAATATAAGTAAGCATAGGATTAATCCTGAAGAATTTGATCATGATCGTCTTATGATAATTTTTAGCATTCCCACATTCCAATTGGAGGCGGTACAAAGATGTGTCCAGTAAATCATCAATTATTCCCATTATAATTTTATAATACGCTATTATTTCCTTTTTTATTTAGGCACGAAAATTTGCGGTCATGAGATTGAAAGATTAATTAATTGTATTGTAGTATCAAAAAATATGACATTGAATTTGATTGAAAATGCTCTTAAGAAAACAAGTTATACTCATTAAACATTGCGATGAATTAAAAATTAGGATCAAAACTAGAAATTTCTAAATATTTTTAATATATTTGATTGGTTTGCTTTGTAGTTTCAAAAAAAGAATAATTGCGTAGATGAAAAATTTTTAATAAAAGAAAGAAGCCTTAAAAAAAAAAAAAAATTTTTCAAATAAAAAATTTTTCTGGAATCCGAAACTTTTTTTTATTAATAATGTCGATCATTTCCAAAAATGAGAAAAATTTTTGACGGCCTAATTGCTTGCTTTATTAATAAGATAATCGACTATAAAAATTTAAACTTTTTTTATGCTAATTAATTTAACTGTAGATAACCCAAGCCAAACAAAGCAATACCTTTCCTATCGGCGAATTCCTGAATTTAATTTTTGTTAAAATAAATTAAATGATAAATGGATTCGTCTAAAATCATTTTCAAGAATCCACGATCAAGCTGCATTTGGCTGGGTAATTGATTTACTTACCCGATATGTGATCTGCCTAAAAAAGAAGAAAAAGTACTGTATATTAAACCACTGTCCATTTAAGCTGATTGATAAAGCATAAAGCAATAATCTAAAAAATAAACGGTATTCGGAAGGACGTACAGACGCTGACGTTTGAGGTAATACTTTGACTAAGTGATTTTATTAAATCATTCTTTTCTAATTCAAAAAAAAATTATGCTTACCTTTCCTTTGTTTATAAATAAATATAAACGATAAGAAACTTAACGTAAGGTTTTGATGGATTTTGCCACAGTCGAAACTTTGTGGTTCGCCTTAAAAAAAAAAAAGTTGTCAAAACGCCAAAAATTAGTTTCGAATTGTTACTTTTCGAAAACTCAGGGTTTTGCCTGGTAACCTTAGCAAAATCTTATAAATTTATTAATACTAGCAAAAACTAAGCTAATATAATGTAATTAAAGTACTGCTTCTGTATTGATTATTAAGATTCCAATAAATTTGTATAAATTGAAGAAATCTAAACTAAACGTTATATAAAAAAATATTTTTTAACCTGACTTTTTTCTTTCAGGCGAGACCCATCATTTTTATATTCCAATTGTTGACAAGGATTTATAAATTATTAAATATGTATTTTTAAATATTATAGCAAAGACAATTTTTTAAGAGATGTTACTACCATCACACTAAAATTGCTGCCTGGCAAAATTCTAAGGTTTTCGACACGTGGCTTTCTAAGGCCATGCAACTTCGATTTTTCGGTTCACGTAACATTGAAATTTAAAAATCGACCCGGAGACCCGGAGATTATTAATGATTATTTTTTATAATAAAAAAAGTTTATATATAAATATTATGCTATCTGATTGGTCAATCTTTAAGGGACAAAGTAAATTTTCAGATTCTGTGACCCGGCCGTGTCAGTTTACGAAAATTCATGATTTTTTTTTTCTTGGGGTATTCAAAGTTGGTTGATGCAAAATTTGATGCACTTTGTGTTAACCAATTATTATTTTTTTAGTGCGCGAAATTGAATAAAATCGATGCATATTTTGATTTAAAAAATTAAGGCTTTCAAATTTGGTTAAGTAAACATTTTGTGGGCCGTTAAAAATTTTGCATCAACTACACCTGCTATTTTGCAGATGCCATTAACGATATAAATTTCAGCCAATCATGTTTCTTGAAATTTGCATCAAAATCTGCATCAACCAATTTTGAATACCCCTAACTAGATTAGGTTGGTGTGCGGCGACTTCGTCGCCGCTAGGTATGATAAATAGAATCGATTTGAGAGTTTCAAAAGATTCGATTAATAGAATATTTTTTTATTATTATTATATTTTTTTATCCCCACCGATCTTTTTATTTTTTTTTTTTATCCACCTCCGATCTTTTTAACTTTTAAATTTTTTATATTAAGTTTGCGATAATACTGCGCCAATTAAATATGTAAGTTAAAACTTGCATATTAAACCTAATACGATGTTAGAATTGTCAAAGTAAAAAATTAAATTTTGCTTAATAACTCTTTCCAATAAGCCAAGTTTCGATAATGCGATAAGTCGTTTAAAGTTATGTGTTATGATAATATGAAAAATTTTCTCTAAACAAAGAAAATATTTTTATTATAATAGATTAAAACCATATAAGATATTACTGAAAGAAAATTCATTCAAAGCATGAACATCACGAGCAGAAAACTATGTTGAAAAGTTGATTTTTAAAAAATAAAATATTTAATAAAGATTATAAACCAAAAGAATATTCCTAATCACCTACCAAAATCTACCTAAATGACACCGTAAAAAAGTGAATGGCGACGAAAAAGTTTATAAACAAAAAGAATACGTTCATGCGAAAATATGAGCTCTTTACTTATACCGACGACTTGCAAAAGGATCCAAGGTAGTTTTGCTACGTGCTCAATCTCAACCAGGATCACAACCTCTTGCAACTTCAGTCCTAGAATGGAGATTTCTCGAAAAGAAAGTTCAACACTAAAGAAAAGTCTGTTGAAGCGTCGCTTTAGACCTGAGGACGGAAAATATCTACAGTATTATAGCAATAGATTGGGTAGAGCTGACGTATACGTAAAACACGCGGAAAGTTACTGCATCAACGAAATAATTCTGTATTACATGCGTAAACAGTATTTATTAAACATATATCACAATCACATGACAACGTAATTTTAAATATTAATCTAACTTGTTAATAAAAAATGATGTTATTTTTTTTGTCTTCACAAATATTATCATCATGTTATAATTACATCGGAAGTTCATATATACAAAGGATTTATGAGCTTAAATTGCTACTAACCATAATGGTCATTTCGTTCATACAATATTTTTTATGTTCAATAATAACATTTATTATTTTTACATGTACTTAAGATATAATATTTTTACAATTTGTTTATCAATAAGAGCGAAATTCAACAAACAAAAATTGCAAGAATAAAAATTTGGTTTACGCAAAGTTTTTCGAGGTAACATTATTAAGATACACAAAATAATTTCCATTATCGTTATTGAATTGTTTCTAATTCATTTACAAACTCAATTTTTGACTTCATTGTCATCTATATTTGACGACATGTTGAAATATGCAACCGGTTCTTTATTGCGGTATAGTTCAAAAAATACGAACGATTTTTTTTAAAAAAAAAAAAATAAGAAAAATAAAGAAAAATAAGTAGAAAAATTTTAATATGCTTCAATTTATTAGATCTAAAAAGGGGGAATTAAATCTCTAGCTGTAGTGTATAGTAAATCATAATAATAATGTAAATATGAATTTTTTCCTTTTTATTTAACAAAAAAGAATAATAATAATTGTTTATTTTGATATTTCTAAACTCGTAAAATTTTAATTAATTTAAATTTATTAAGATAATTGGATTGGATTATATTTTATTGTATTATTTCGACATATGATGGTAATGCTGTGCCTCAAGTTGTTATCTGTCCAAACTTTAAATTAGGCATCTCTAAACTTAGCTATAATAAATTACATGTATAAATATGATGGCTTTGATCTTTGACAATAATTTTTGATGCACAAGTTGTTGATTGTTTAATTTTAAATTGGGATAATAGCCAACTTGGACATCGCATATCTCGACAATAGTCAATGTGTCTCAATTTTCAATTTTTCCAAACTTTATATTAGGTCGATGGTCTCATGTTCCAATTTCCAAAGTGTCCAATTTTAAATTGGAACGGATGAAATGATAAACAATAGAAACAATAATAAAAAGAAAATTTTGTACCTGATTGCGCTGTCGTTACGAACTGACTGATCTAATTTTTTTTATTAATTTCTATTTAATTTATTAATTTTTTTATTTTTGATAGTTTTATATATATATAACACAATAATAAAAAAAATTTTGTCATGCATCTGACTGTATCACCACGATAAGCAGAAGGATGTCAAATCTGAAAGGGCAGAATCAGTCCTAACTAAAATCAAATAAACCACTAGTTTTTGATTAATAATCAATCAAAAAAAGTAAGTGAATAATAAAAAAGTTACACACCTTATTGTGTCACTGCGACAAACCAAGTGGAGAATCTACCGATCTGACCTAAACCAAAAAAAAATAAATTAAATTATTAATCAATAATTATGAACTGATTAATTAATTATTAATTAATTAAATAATTAACAATAGGAATAAACAATACATAATATTAGAAAAAAAAAAACAATAAAAACAATTTTATCATGCGCCAGCACGACAGACCAAATCTTTTTTTTAAAAAAAATATTTAAACGACCTTTATTCCTTGAGGTAGATTCCTCCTCTACCTTTACCTCTACCTTATCCTCTACATTTTAGTGTTAGTGTTAGTATTAAATATAATAAGGTATATAATAATGGCCAGCCGTTAGCATTACACGAATTGCCTAAAAAGGAGAATTTTTTGAGAAAAAGGAATTTTTTTGTTGCTCAAAGGTCCAGAAATTCGGTTTACACTAATAAAAAATCACACTAAATTTTTTTACCATAATACCGATCCTTCTTTATTATAGTATGTTAATAAATCAGCATATCCGATTTTATTTAAAAGAAAGTGGCGGTGAAATAAAAATACATATAAAAATATTTACATATGAAAAAAGAAAAAAAATGTGTAACCATGTCAATTTTATAATTTTATCTAAAAATTTTCTTTGACTGACCTAATCATACGGCAATCACATTTCATATCAAAATCATCTTAACTCCGTCCAAATGCCTATTAAACATATAAAATTCTTCCAATTGTCTTCCGCTCGTAATGTATATATATTGGGCAATCTAACTTTGTCCGATTCGCATTTTCAAACCAGTTGACGATAATAAAAGCGAAGCGGTGATCATTTCAGTGACAGAATATCCCTCGTACAATAGCTTGGCATATCTTGATTA